TTTCCTTTCTTTTCCTTTTCCCTGTCTTTCTACCTTCCCTGACCTTCTCTCTGCTCCTCTCTCGCAATGACCTCCTCGCAATAACCTCCTGACCGTCGCGTGGTTCTCTTCTCCTATCCTGGGAGCTCCTCCCCTCGTCCCTCCCAGTCTCATTTGATTAACAGGAAACACCTGTGGTTTCGCAGCAGGCGGAACGGTAAAGCGAAAACTAACTAATGGCACGTGTGTTGCGCAACACGGCGCATGCTCCAGGCGGCTCCGGACACTTACCCTTTATTTCTAGCTAAAATACTATTTTTGTGCATGCTTTGTAAAGATAAACACCAGTTTCCCTGGCTGCTGACGGTGTTGTCCACCATTACATGAAGGAGGACACGGCTGTCTCCGAGGGTGTCGTCAGCGTTTCTGAGTCCAGGACACGTGAGCGTGTTTTCGCTGTGAGTCATAGGAAAGTGGCTTTACGTGCTCTGCGGAGAATAAGTTACCTGGCTCATGTCAGCTCCTGTCTGGACTTGAAAATCAGGCACCTCCCGGGTCCTGCGGCATGTCCTGCCAGCCCAGATGGACTTCACCCTCCAGGGGGAGCGGGCCGGGGGCTTGGCCTCTCTCACTCTGCCCCGTCTCATTTTTGGAGACTTTGCTTCAGCGTCCAGGAGTGACAGTGATGGTGTTCACAGTCCTGTACACTGAGCTGGGGCCAGGCGGTACGCGACGCACTTGGCGTGTGTGATCTTAAACCTTCTAAGTTAGGAATTACTGCCTTGATAACGGACGTGAAGTGGCAGGAGTCGAAGGAGAGTAAGTGACTCACGGCGCTGTCGGGTGGGAACGTGACCGAGCCGTCAGCCCGCGTGGGCAGCCCCTGTGTCCCGAGCGCGCAGCCAGCACCCCGTCTTGCTAACGGGTGCTGCTGCTTGCTCCGCGCAGAGGCTGTCCGGGACGCGGCTTGCCGCTCGTCCGGCTTGTAAATTTATTTTCGGGGAGGGGGTGTCTCAATCTAAGAAACGGCAGATGTGACCCCCAGGCCCGCGCACTCTGGGGGAGCCGAGGGGCGGCGTGTGGGCATTGTGGTGAGTGAGCTGTGGTCGGCAGGCACCTCCTCTTTGTAAAGCGCCCTGTCATCGCTGTGGACATCGCAGCCCCAGCAGAGGCGGCGCTTGACTGTTTTCCCAAGCCGGGGTTGATGTCTTTTGATTGCTTTTTTCCAAAATCGGGGGAAGCAGTAACACGGGGGACTGGCGCCGGCCCCGGCGTGTTCTGAGCCCCCGTGCAGATGGGCAGATCCAGGCTCCCCGCGCCCTCCCCCGGGCCGTGAGCAGCGCCGTGTTCCGTGCCCGGATCACCGTGTCCACTTCCCTCTCCGGGTCTCTGCCAGTGCTGACGCGGGGCTGTCGCCAGCCTTCCCTGGCCTGAGAAGCCGAAGTGCCATCTCCCTCCTCCACGGCTCCCTGCGGGCCGCCCCGCGCGCCGACGCCTGCGTGAGGAGCCCATGTCTTGCTGACTGCTCTTCTCCGACGGCCTCGCCAGCACGCCCAGTAGCCTTTGCGAGCGGCTCCCCCCGCTCCGAGGGCCTGTCCAGCGGGGCGTGTGCGGTTTTCTTCCCCGTGTGGACTCTGCAGTCTGCATTCCAAATGTTTTCTCATATTTCGACTTCTTTATTATTTATCACAGATTGCAGCTTTAAGACCTTTGCGCACGCACGCCCCCAGAAATTTCACTGCTAAATCACTTCTGCTCTCCGTAAGCACCCCATTCCAGGAGAGACGCATACTTTCTGATCTCCTTTAAAAATAAAATGCTGGTATTACATCCCGTGGGAGAATGCAGGACCGTTGTTTGCAATATGATAGGAAAACACGTCTGCCCTCCCGCGCTGTGCTCCTGAGCACCTGACTTTCGGGAAAAGTTGATGTTAATGATGATGGATGAAATCAACACCAACAAGTATAACCATTTTTTTTTTTAGTCTACAGAACACGTGTCCATGAACAATATACAAAGTTAGAAAAACAAGCTGTTCCGAGGAGCACGGCAGAGGCGTGTTGTCCTGGGCGGCGGGGGGGTGGGTACTGATATCACTGTCCCCACCGTCTCCTGGTGACCACCTGCCACATCCGCAGGGGCGACCCCCGGCCTGCCTCCTTCCCCTCCACGCCACAGCCCCGCTTCTCACTGGAGATGGTTCTGATTATCTTCTGGTTCAGCTTCACCCTCCGCACCTGCTTCTTAAACTCCCCACCCCATGGAACAGCAAAGGGGCAGTAGGTCGGGACACCACGGCGCCGAGATGTGAGTGTTCCTGTACACCCTCCAGTGGGCGGGGAGCTGGCCAGCGCCTGCTCTCGCGCAGGGGTGAACAGCTAGTCTGGATGCTCTTCCCCACCTCAGTGACCAGCGAGCAAGCCCGAGGCCCTGCAGGGCGGTGGGCAGGGAGAGGCAGCTTGCTCCTCGCCGCTCCCTGGCAAGCTGGAAGCCTCGGCCCTGCGATAACGTCTGCCAGTCGAGCATTGAGCCTGGAGCTGGAGGGGTGAGGTCTGCAGGTCTGTCTGGCTCGGAGCACGCCCCGTGTGCTCCACAGCCGGCTGCTCTTGGGCTTCGGTGGGAAGGCCAAGGTGCTGGAAGCGCCCGCGTGCATTCTTGCAGCCCCAGGGCCCCATCCGGAGACTATGGAAATCAAATGACCCCACACGAGCTAACGTGGGGACGTTGCTGGGAGGGCTGGCCGTGAGCGCACAGGCCTCCAAACCCACCCACACGTAGCCCTTCATCAGAAAACCGCCCCGGCTGGTGTCAGGGTCAGGAGGAGCAGCCACAGCTGGACAGGGTCCTCTCCCAGCCTCTGAGGCTTGTTCTGTGCTGCCAGGGCTGGTGGAGCCTTTAATGAGAGGAAAGGTGGGGTGCAGTGCGCCCAGGTGACAGCCTTCCTCGGTGGACATGCATCGCGCTCCAGCACCCTGGAAAGGCCCATGCTCCACCGCTGCCATCTCGTCCAGCCGCTGCCCGTCAGGCCTTCCTTGAAGCCGGGCATTGGCACCATACCGGCCTGTGAGGAAGTGAAGACACCCGGGGACACCTCGGCCCCGCTCCGTCTGCCCCTTGGTCGCTCTGCGGTTCGTGTCCCCTGTCCCGGGCCTGTTTTAATTACCTGCTAAGAAATGAGTCTGAATATCTGATCACATACCAGTTTCATGCGATGTTTTCTGAGCCCCCGAACCTCGCAGAACCACATGGATTTACGAACTAAAAAGGGAGAAACCGTCACCAGTCCTGTGAGCTCAGGGAGGACAGCAAAGACTGCGGGTCGCTGGTTTCCTCCTCTCCCCACTGCTGCCGTGGCCGCGCTGGTCCAGAGAGCACCGGCTGGGCCGGCTGCCGTGAGGTGTGGACATGACACCCCAGCCCGCCTCGGCCCTGCTCTGGGGTGATGCTGACCTGTACTCAAGCCAGACTGAGTTTGGAACTCTCTGGTGTCATCCCTTTGAAGGCCTCTCGGGCCTTTCCCTAAAGAAGAAAACATCACGGCTGGCCTCCCTGCTGTTCGTTGAGTGACCAGTCCATCTCAGCAGACTGTGGCTCAGGTCTCTGTGCTGAGCACTCACATCCCTGGAGCTGAGCCGCCCGCGGCTCCTCTGGGACCCTGCCTCTGAGCTCTCGGGCTCGGTGCATCTGTCCTGAGCCAGCTGCTGCCTCGTGCAATGTCACTTGTACTTAGTGAGTTAAAATAAAAGTGGGGGGCCTCCCTGGTGGCACAAGGGGTTAAGCACAGCACAATGAAGCTATCAACAACCTCTGCAGCATGAGTTTGATCCCCAGCCGGCCAGGGAGCTGCCCACATGGCGCGGCAGACCTGTCCTGTCTCCCCGCTGCTCCCCTCAGCAGTGGATTTCAGTGGATCCACCTGTTCTGCTCCCTGCTCTGTCTCTGGTGAATCACCCCTGCACCTCTGGACTGTACCCCAGTTCTTGTATGCATAAATAAAGTTTTAAAAAATAAATAATAATGTAGGAGCTTTAAGTTACTCTAGTTGCAGAAGAAGATGCCAAGATAGGAATGTATATATTTTCTCATACCCTGAACTATTCCCCAAACGAAGCCTGAGTTGAGAAACCCGTTTGTGGCTGTGGTGAATGCGTCACCTTTAACCCTCATGGGCCTCTTTACTGGACTGCAAAATGGGGGCAGTCATGGCACTTGACTCGCAGCTTTGTGCTGGGGCCACCTGAGACAGCCAGCGAGGAGGTCGTGGTCCCAGGCTTCCAGAAGAGGTTGTGCTGGCTGCAGCGCACACCTGCCCCAAATACCCCAAATCTGATTGCAGCCAGCCTGTTGAATGTCTCACACGATGAAGAACGAGGGGACATGGCAAGCCTCCTCGTGGGGAGCGGATGTAACAGCATGTCACCTTGGGGGACACATTTCTAACCTCATTCACTGTCCTGGGTGGCTGCATAGGTACTGGGGGTGGCCTGGGGGTGTAACATCTTAACCCTAAGCAGACCTGACACCTCAAGAGAAGGGAACCTGTTCCCAACAGGACCGGGGACAGAGAGGGGCTGTCCAGCAGGTGGACTTGCGTGTCGGCAGACACAAGTCACGTCAGGTGAGATGTGAACATGGGGCCGGGGAGGCCACTGACCATCGTCCAGCCTCAGTCTCTGCACCTGTCCTGCGAGCAGGACCTTATTTCCGGGACTGGCCTGTCTCTGCTGTCCAGTGCATGCTGGGAGCTGCATCAGCCCTCGGGCACTAAGAATGAGGCCGTGTGGCTGAGGGTCAGGTCCAGCATCTAGTGTGATGATGCTGGACTCCCGGCCGGACAGGCGACTCCTCAGTGGACAGTGTAGACGCAGGACCAGCGAGCAGGCAGCCACGTGGGCAGGAAGGCTCGGCGCCCCTGACGGCCATGGCTCCGCCAGGACTGAGCTGGTGGCCCTGTGAACGGGCGCTCTCCCAGGCCGCGGGGCTGCGCATCGTCAACCCTTCTCTGTTTCTCTCGTTAGATCTTGAAAACTTCCAGACGAGGACGAGGAGCACCGTGTCCGTCCGCCAAGGCCAGGGGATGGTGCTGCTGTGCGGCCCGCCGGCCCACTCCGGAGGTAACACCCGCCGCCGCCCTCTGGGCTCCAGCTGAGGGGACAGCATCTTGGGGAGGGTTCCCCGAGTCCCCCTCACCCTCACCGTGTCCAGGAGCAGCATGGGCGGGGCTGTCTGGGGAGGGCAGGGGCAGCAGCTTCCGCCCGCCCACCTGCGCCGACCCTTGGACTCGGTGGGGCTGGGCTCCCTCTGGCCGGGGCCAGCTCGGCCGCTGCCCTGTGATTTGGGCCAGCGGCCACGCCCAGATCCCCTCCCCACCCCCACCGAGGTCTCCACGGCTCCCCTCCCCGTCGCTCGGCTCCCAGTGTGACTCCCAGATCTTTACAGCGTTGTCCCGGCCAAATAGAATGTATCTCTGTCTTCACAAGCCCTGGGGGTGGGAAACCTAATACACGTGGCAGCTACTGACACAATTAAAACGTCCAGACACCTCTGATTTTATTATCAGGCTTCCCATAATGCTTTTTATTTGCCTGGGCTTGAAATTCAAGTTCAATCAGGAAATTGCTTGTCTTTGGAGCGCGCGTCTTGCTTTCCTTCATGTGACAAGTTTTAAACGGGCAAATGTTCCTCAGATGTGCCTCCCAAGAGGCCCCGTGGAGTCTGCATCTGTTATTAACTGGCCGTGCCCCGGCCGTGCGGCTGGACGTGCTGAGGGACCGGGCTGTGGCATTGAAGGCTCCCCGCGCAGACCCAGGATTCAGGAGAGGCAGCCCCTCCCGGCTGCAGGCAGCTTCTCAGCTTCTTGCATGCCGGCCGCTGCAGTGTCGTTTCTCTCCCTCTCAGGAAGGACTGGGGTGTGGTGTAGACCTCAGGGGGCCGAGAATTTTTAAAATCTTGCTGAGTTTGGGTTTAAGAGAGTGAAGTATTATGTGACCTGCTCCTTGTGTTACGTTATCTTCCGCAGAGATGTTGGAAACACGGGATGTGGCAGCCCCTCATGGAGCTGCAGAGGCCCCATGTGCGGTCGCCGCCCCACCCCCAGGGCGTGTGGGAGCCGGGTGCAGCTGGCCCCGTGAGGCCCGGCCCCGCTCCCTCCCCTCGCCTGGGCAGAGCGGCAGGCACCCCTCAGTGTCGCGTGGTCTCCCCCGAGGCCTGCCGCGGCCGCCCTGGACGTCCACCCCATGTCCCTGCCTGCCAGGCCGAGCTCGGCCTCGTCGGCCTCTGCAAATAACGGCTTCAGTGCAGTGCGTGGGGCTGGGACGGGCCTGGCTGGGAGTCAGCGGCTCAGCAGAGTTCGGGCCCTGAGGTGAGGCGGGGCCCTTGCCCCTTGGACTGAGAGGCGGCTGCATGTGCTGCCGGGCACGGCGCCCCTCCTCTGGCCCCGGCGTGGCGCCCGCTCTTCCACTGTCCACGTGGAGCGCGAGTCCCAGGACGCCCGTGTCCGCCGGGTCAGTGTCCTCCTCTGCTTGAGGCAAGGGGCCGGCGTCTAGGACGTGACGGCGATTGGCGCTGGAGGCCGAGGTCCCAGGGCGGGGCTGCCTGTGCGGCCGGACTGGCCCTGTCCTCCGAGACACCCGCTGGACGTCGCCCCTCTGCATCTCGCCTTTCAGCAGGAAGGAAGGGGCGGCTCTGGGGTCCTTCCAGCAGGGACCCAGCAGGTGTCAGGACGGGCCCTTCTAGGCCCATGTCCAGTCCGGTGAGGACGTGCTGTCCGAGGCCTGGGAACCCGACCTGATCTGAAACTGGGTCAGCATAGTCTCCACTGCCAGGGCCCTGGATCCCCGACTCTTAGGGCACAAATAGGAAGCTGGCCGACTGTTCTGGACCCGAGAGGAGCCCGGAAGAGACCCTCCGTCCGCCGCTTGCGCTGGATTGCTCTGGCGGGTGAGCTTCCTGGGACGGCGATTCCGACCGTGGTGCCCGCAGCCCCATCTTCCAGCTCCGAGGCAATAGGCCGGCGCCCTAGAAGAAACAGCAGTCGGTCTGGGAGTCACCACTGTGGGGGCAGGACAGTCTGTTATTAATGAGAAAGGCCCGTGGGCAGCGGGAGAGCCCCTGGCAGGGGTGACTACCAGGGCGCTGCTTCCAAGGGCCACGCTGACCAACCCAGCAGCTCCCCAAATGGATTCACAAGGCGTCGGGCCCAAGTGGCACTTAAGCGCTTAAACCATACCGTTGCCCACACTCTCTGTAAAAGCAAACTGACCCTGAGATCGCGCTGACCCCCGGATCGCATTAAGAAGACCCCAGCCCCGTGGGGGGACCTGCGGCTGCACTTCCATTTAAGACGTGTGTCCCTGGCCCTGAGTGGCGTCCTGCAGAGAGCCCCGTTATTTGGAAAGGTTACTCCTTCCCGTGCCTGGGGAGAAACTGTCTTGAGAAGCGGGAGCTAAATGTGTTGTCAAGACATATTGCTAATTAGTTGCTGCAGACTGTCGCCATTGCCTTCCAGAGCTGAATGTTTGTGGGTGTGTCTCAGGTGCAGGGCAGGGCGCGGGGCCGGGAGGGCAGGTCTTGCTCCCGCGCAGAAAACGCAAGAACAAAGAGGTGATCAGAGCAGAGATATGTTAGATGCCTGTAGGTGAGTGATTTTTATTTTTCTAAAGCCCATATATACTGAGGTTCAGCATGTCCCTTGACAGGGCACTTGTCAACTTACTGCAGGAATAAACGGCCCTGCCTGCTGGAATAAATCGCTCACCCTGAGTGGAGAGTGGGACCCGCGCTTTCAGGGCGCACGGCAACGCGCGAGAGCCTGTCCCTGAGCCGGAGCAGCCCGGGAGCCTGGCAGGCCGGGCGGCACAAAGCAGGCGCTCACTGCCCGGCACCGCGGGCACTGCCTCACCTGAGGTCGGCTGCGCTCGCAGGGAGCCGGCTCTCCCGGGTGCCTGCTGCCGGGGATGCGGGCCCTGCGTTTGGGGGTTCCAGGCTCTTTTTGACCACCTTCTATTTCCCCAGGGATGTTTTAAAGCCCAGGTGCACTTAGCTAACTGTGGGGTCACCTGCCTGCGCAGGTCCAGGGCTTGAACAGGATCCAGTGCTGCTCTGGCCAGACCTCCCAATCCCCCAGGGGCAGGAGCCAGGTGAAGCAGCCACTTCGACGCCTGCGTGGTGACCTCTGCAGCTTTGCGGCTCCTTCGCCGTCCCGCTGGTGCAGGGAACCCCAACAGTGCTGACATTTCACCTCCATGGGGCTCCTGGCTACAGAGCCCGGAACCTGCTGTGAATCCACCACGTGGGCCGCGGGCAGGACCCCCATGGCCCTGGGCCGGGAGGAGGGAGGTGGACGCTCGTGGGGCCGGGAGGCCAGTGCGTGGTGCGTCCCTCAGACCTTTTTTTTCTTTCCTTGGGCGCCCTCCTCCTCCACCCCTCCCTGCGTCCTGGGACCTGGGTTTGGAAGGGTCAGCTCTCCCGAAGTTAGGGGAGATGCTGGAGTTGGCGTCCTGGCCAGCAGGTAGGGCCGTGGGGGGCTGTGTTGACGCAAGGGCCGCGCCTGGAGGGGGAGGCCGAGCTAGGTTGCAGGAAAAGGCTCGCTTGCGGCCCTCGCCGGCATCCCGGCTGCAGAGACCAGGCCCTTCCACCCTGTGTGGGGCTGGGACCACTCCTCGTCCCTCAGACGTCCCTGGAGACGCACAGACTTCCAAGGCCTTGGAATGCGAAGGTGACGTGAATGGGGGCAAGCCATGCTCCCAGCCAGGGGCCGCGGCACAGGGGGCTCCCCAGGCTGGCCACTCTGTGGGCGCCGTCCAATTTGCTCAGAGGAGCTGGCCCAGGTGACAGCCGCGGGTCTCGGTTTGCATCCAGCTTCGGGAGCGGGGTCACGTCCAGCGCGATGGGGTCGCGGGGCGGCGAGCCCTCCCCTGGCTGTGAGGCGGGTCTCCCGGCCTGTGGCCTTGGGTCGCTCTGGTTCTTCATCCCTCCGGCTCAGCCGCCACGCGTGGCCCCCCTCGCAGGAGCCTCTGCTCACCGCAGTCTGCGGACACATGGCAGGTCCCGCAGCCGCAGCCCGGAAAGGGGCTCGGCGCCCGCAGCGGCCTGAGACTGGGGAACTTGCCCCGTCCTTTCCAAGGAGAGTTTTCATCTTCGCGTTTGGAGGCTGGTTCTCCTGGAAAATGTCGAACAATAGGAATGGAAGGGAGTGGGCTGAGGCGGCTGCACCCCCTGGCGTGGCCGCTGACCACACCCCCGCGGGCAGGCCCCGTCCCGTGCCCCAGGACATGCTCCGCAGGAGGCTCAGTCTCCAGGAGGGGCCGACCTTCCCCCTGCAGTGAGAGGCTGCTCGGAGGTGGCGAAAGCTCATTGAGGTTGAGGCATTAACGGGCTCACAGAGAAGCGTGTGACATGAACGCAGAGGGAACGTTTCAGTTCCCTTCAAACAGCAAGAAAAAACCACAGAAGCCAGACCCCACCCTGGCTCTTAACAAGGACAGGAGGCTCATTTTTTTGAGTCTGACCTTTTCCTACCGAAGGGAACGTTGTGTGGCCTCGGGGCGCCCGCCGTGGAGGCCAGTGAGGGCCGCTGCGGGAGAGGAGCCCCCGAGGCTGCATCCACACCCACATCCCCCTGCTGGCGGTCAGGCCTCCTGCGGACCTAGTTCTTCCCGTAGGACAGGGGAAAGCCGGGAGGTGCTCGCAGGCACCTCTATGGCTGGAGAACATCGTTCCTGTGGAGGCGGGGCCGCTGGCGCCGGGCAGGGACGTGCGAAGAGAAGCCAGGGGAGCCTGGTGGCCCTACAGGGGCCCAGGCGAGGTGGCGTCCGCGGGACGGGCACGTGCGCCGCCCCACTCAAATACGGGACCCTCTGGGCCCCGCTGTGGGGTCCTGCCCCGACCCTACCTCGCTCAAGGACTTTGCTCGAGCCGCGGTCTTCCACCCCTTTCCTGCCTCTGCCGCGTCCCTCCCACCCCGGGCTCCTGATTTGCCGCGTCGCCTCCTCTCGGTGACAGCGCTGAGTGCCCCAGGCTCAGCACCCCGACCTCCCAGTGCCCCGCGGCCGGGCTGCTCTGGCCTTGCTCCACCTCCTCTGCCCCTCTCCCGGGTCCACCTCGGGTTTTCTGA